TATTTTGTATCACCCGGGCAAGGCCAATGTGGTGGCCGATGCTTTGAGCCGTCGGGCAGAGAGTTTGGGGAGTTTGGCTTATTTACCAGCGGCAGAGAGGCCTATGGCGATGGATGTTCAGGCCTTAGCCAGCCAGTTTGTGAGATTGGATCTTTTGGAGCCCAGTCGGGTTCTAGCTTACATGGTCTCTCGATCTTCCTTATTTGATCGTATCCGGGAGCGTCAGTTTGATGACCCTCATTTACTTGTCCTCAAGGACAAGGTTTTGCATGGCGATGCCAGAGATGTGACCATTGGTGATGACGGGGTATTGAGGTTACAGGATCGAGTTTGTGTACCCAATGTTGATGGGCTTCGGGAGTTGATTCTAGAGGAGGCCCATAGTTCGCGGTATTCCATTCATCCGGCAGCCGCGAATATGTACCAGGATCTGAGATAGGTGGAGGCGGATGAAGAAAGATATAGTTGGGTTTGTAGCTCGGTGCCTTAATTGTCAGCAGGTGAAGTATGAGCACCAGAGACCGGGTGGATTGCTTCAGCAGATAGAGATTCCGGAGAGGAAGTGGGAGCGGATCACCATGGTCTTCGTATCTGGGCTCCCATGGACTTTGAGGAAGTTCGATGCCATTTGGGTTATTGTGGATCGACTGACCAAGTCCTTGCATTTCATTCCTATGTGCACCACCTATTCTTCGGAGCGGTTGGCAGAGATTTATATTCGGGAGATTGTTCGTCTGCATGGTATTCTAGTTTCCATCATTTCAGATAGAGGTACTCAGTTCACATCTCGGTTCTGGAGGGTCGTTCAGCATGAGTTAGGTACTCGGGTGGAGTTGAGTACATCATTTCACCCTTAGATGGATAGGCAGTCCGAGCGCACTATTCAGATTCTTGAGGATATGCTCCGTGCGTGTATGATTGAGTTTAGAGGGTCTTGGGATCAGTTCTTGCCATTGGCGGAGTTTGCCTACAACAACAGCTATCAGTGCAGCATTCAGATGGCTACGTATGAGACTGTATATGGTAGGCGGTGCAGATCCCCGGTGGGTTGGTTTGAGCCGGGTGAGGCTAGATTATTGGGCACAGACCTGGTTCAGGATGCTTTGGAGAAGGTCAAGGTGATTGAGGATAGACTCCGTACAGCCCAGTCCAGACAGAAGAGCTACGCAGACCGGAAGGTTCATGATGTATCCTATATGGTTGGAGAGCGGGTTCTGCTTCGGGTTTCGCATATGAAGGGCGTCATGAGATTTGGGAAGAAAGGGAAGTTGAGTCTGAGGTTTATTGGCCCTTTTGAGATTTTGAGGCGTGTTGGGGAGGTTGCTTATGAGCTTGCCTTCCCTCCCAGCTTGGCAGGAGTTCATCCGGTATTTCATGTTTCGATGCTCAAGGGGTATCACGTTAATCCATCGCACGTGTTGGATTTCAGTTCAGTCCAGTTGGACAAGGATCTATCTTAAGTTGAGGAGCTAGTGGCGATATTGGACAGGCAGATTCGAGAGCTGAAGTCAAAGAACATTGCATCAGTGAAGGTTCATTGGCGGGGTCAGCCGGTCGAGGAGGCGACCTGGGAGACCGAGCAGGATATGTACAGTCGTTACCCTCATCTTTTCACTATATCAGGTATGTCTCTATGCTCGTTCGAGGACGAATGAATGTTTAAGTGTGGGAGGATGTAATGTCCGGGCCGGTCGTTTTAAGAATTAACGCCCCGATTCCCTATTAACTGCATTCCCCGTGTTTGTTTCTGTTATTGTGAGTTGCCGGGAAGATTTATTTGGAAATTCGGAGAGTTTTGGGACACTTAGTCCCTAAATGAGAGTTTATGTTTTAGAATTTGGACCGTAGTCGGAGCAGTATGAAGACGGCCTCGGAATGGAATTTTGATGGTTCCGTTAGCTCCATTGGGTGATTTCGGGTTTAGGAGCGTGTTCGGATTATGTTTTGGAGGTCCGTAGCGCATTTAGGCTTGAAATGCCGAAAGTTGAATTTTTGAAGTTTTCGGTTCGATAGTGAGATTTTGATCCGAGGGTCGGAATGGAATTCCGGAAGTTGGAGTAACTCCGTAGTGTTGAATGTGACGTGTGTGCAAAATTCCAGGTCATTCGGACGAGGTTTGATAGACTTTTTGATCGAAAGAGTATTTTGAGAGTTTTTGAAGATCTTAGGCTTGAATCCGATGCTAATTGGTTGATTTGATGTTGTTTGAGGTGTTTTGGGGATTGGTATAAGTTTGGATAGTGGTATATGACTTGTCTGTGCTTTTGATTGAGGTCCGGGGGCCTCGGGATGAATTCGGGTGGTTAACGGAAAGTTGGAACTTGGAATTTGCAGCTAAAGTTCTTTGGGCTGCTGTCATAACCGCATCTACAGTTGAGAGGCCGCAGATGCGACTCCCGCAGATGCGGAGTCAAGCCGCAGAAGCGGCCAAGAGGAAAGTGAGCAGGAACCGCAGAAGCGGACGTGTTACCGCACTTGTGGGACCGCAGATGCGGCATATGGGTCGCAGGTGCGGAGAGGGAATTTTAAGCGAGAACCGTAGAAGCGGTATCGCAGATGCGGAAATTGAGCCGCAGATGCGACTTTGCTAGGCAGAAAAATCAGAATTCGAGGGTTTAGTTTCAAAAAGTTAAAAATTGATTTGGAGCTCGGGAGAGGGCGATTTTGGGAGGAATCTGAAGAGGAAATCATTGGGTAACAATTCCTTAACCATTTCTAGTTGTATTCCATTAATCTATTGTTAGTTTTATCATTTAATTTCGGATTGGAAATGAAAAATGGGGGAAAATTAGAAGAGAGTTCTTAGACCTAGAATTCGAGTTTTGACTGGGTATTTGACAGTTGATTTGAATAATTTTGGTATGGTTAAACTCGTGAGAGTATGACGATTCTGAAAATATAAATTTTACCCGATTTTGAGTCGTGGGCCCGGAGGGCGTTTTGGTCATTTTACCTAATTTTGCGTATTAGCTTAGAATTTAATTGTAGAATCAGTTACTTGAAGTGTTATTTACATTATGCAATTGACTTGAATAGATTTGGGCCATTTGGAGTCGAGTACTCGTGGCAAGAACGTCGGATTGATTTTGAGCCGGTTCGAGGTAAGTGGTTTGCCTAACCTTGTGTGGGGGACATTCCCCTTAGGATTGGTACTGTGATAATTGAGATGCCTGGTACGTGAGGTGACGAGTGCGTACTTGTGCTAATTGTTGAAAAATCCGATTTTCATTAAGTACTTGGAATTGTATTCCTTTTCCTGTTTATACTACTTGCAATTTAAGTCTGCTGCTAGCTTAGAGGAGCATGTCTAATTGACTTAATTGCTTTATCTGCCTAAACTGCCTTATTTGTATTATGTGAAGCATGCTAGGTTAGAATTACCTGTTTTACCTTGGTATGAAGTTGAGTTTAATTGAGTATTCTTTGTGTTATTACTGTGTGTTATACCTTGGGGCTACGGGACGGCATCCCGGGAGATCCCCTGTACGTATTTTAGATTTGAACTGAAGTGCGGGATACCGAGAGATCCCCAGCACGTATATTGAGGATATCAAGAGATCCTCGGGATACCAAGAGATCCCTAGCATATATTGAGGATACCTAGAGATCCTCGGGATACCAAGAGATCCCTGGCATATATTGAGTATACTAAGAGATCATCGGGATACCAAGAGATCCCTGGCATATATTGAGGATACTAAGAGATCCTCGGGATACCAAGAGATCCCCGGTTATTATCTTTGTGAAGAGTGGTATTCCTTGTGATTGTTTTTGTCTCTGTTCAGTCATTGTTATCCTTATTATCCTGTATTAATTCTTACTGTTTGCTTTCAACTGTATTGTTTTACCTTGATCTGTTATACCTTATATTTCATTTAACCTCAGTAGGGCCCTGACCTTCCTCGTCACTACCCGACCGAGGTTAGGCTTGGCACTTACTGAGTACCGCTGTGGTATATTCATGCCCTTCCTGCGCATGTTTTTCATGTGCAGATCCAGGTACTGCGACTCAGACTTATCCTGCTTGAGGCGAGGCGCTTGTAGAGACTCCGAGGTATATCTGCCGCGTCCGTAGACCGAAGAGTCCCTTTCTACTCTTCCCTTAAGTAGTAGCCCTTCTGTATTATTTATTTTTGTTAGACACTCTGGAGTTAGATACTTGTAGACATTCAAAAGCTTGTGATCATGAGATTCCGGGTTTTGGGAAATGTTATTAGTTTCGTGAGTTGATATTGCGTATGCTGAGCGGCATTTTAAGCACTCTTTTATTTCACTATTTCGGTTCCTAATTATTTCTTCCGCAAATTTTATTTATTTTCCCCATTGCTAGGCTTACCAAGTCGTAGAGACTAGGTGCCGTCACGATGGTTCACGGAGGGCGAACTGGGGTCGTGACACACGTAGAGAAAGAAAAAGAACACAACATAGCCACACTAAATCCGTGAAAATTAAATTTTACTACTTAGTATACATGCAAACTTCTCTATAGCAGTGTTGTTTATTCTAATTTTTTTTATTGTTGTAGCAAAGTGCTATTGTTATAGAGAACACCTATTATAACATAGCTTGAAAATTAATTTCAAAGAAACTTGAGTTTTATAGTGAATGATAGCTATATACCGATGCTGTTATAGCGAGGTTTGATTGTAATAGGCAGATGAAAGTTTCTTGGAAAATACTTTATTGAATTTGTTTTTATTTACTTGTTCAAACACCCAGTTACCAGTCCTAGCTTTTGTTCCATGCTACCTACACAGAAACTGAAATTTGGAACCTTCCATTCTGACAACTTTTCTTAGTATTTCCTTTGTCCTTTTCGTGATTTGTCATTAAATATATTATTTTCAATGAGCTGTTGATCCCGCGTGGTTGACAATGACCAAATCATACCATAACATAGCAACAAACTTGTCTTGATTTGCCTTTTCTTTCCCAGCTACAATCTTTTTCCTAAAAATAGCATTGTGGGGTATTGTAGAAATAAATGGAGAATCCATCGGAGTGGGGCGGAGGGAGAGGGAAAAGGGTGGTGGTGATAGGCGGAGGAGTAGCTGGTTCCCTCATTGCCAAGTCCCTTCAGTTCGATGCTGATTTAACCCTTATTGATCCGTAAGCTCTCCTCTCTTTTTCAATTAATTAATTTGCAGTGTGCATATACCCCATTTAATATGTAGAGACTTATATCTGATTATTTCAAAGAAAATTTGTGTATGAAAGATATATGTCTTAGCATGGCGCGAGTAATAAGCTTTTGCTATGGAAATGCATTCTCTTGACTTGGTTGACTTGTTACTTAATGTTATAGTAATTGCTTTTTCTTAACTTTTCAGCTCTGTTTATTGATAATTTTGTTTGATTACATGGGTTTAGATAAACTCAGATGCAATGTCACAATAAAATTGGCCAATTTTAGAAACTAAAGATGGGAATTTTGTTAAAAATTAAACCCTAAACCCAAATTGCCTTTGATTTTCTAAAGAAAACTCTTTCCTGTGTGTATTTGGTTCAATGTGTTTTAATGGGTAGCAAAATTACCTGTTAATGTTAACAGGAAGGATTATTTGGAGATACCATGGGCAAGCTTAAGAGCAATGGTAGAGCCTTCTTTCGCTGAGAGATCAGTGATCGACCACAAAGATTACCTCGCCAATGGGCGTCTCATTGTTTCCAAAGTCACTAATATCACCAACAAAGAAGTCTTGACTGCAGACGGACGTCAAGTTGCCTATGACTATCTTGTCGTAGCCACCGGCCACTATGATCCCCTGCCCATTACTAGAACTGATAGACTGGAAGAGTATCGATCAGGTATACATAACATCAAAGACTTCTTTTATAATATGAATTTGTTATTTGGATCCTCATCCTTAAGTCGTTAGATATACCATCTGCTCTGCTTTTCAACGAGCAAACTATATGTACTTTTACCTTAGCAAGCTATGCTGGAACCAGATAATTGTATGACAAGTTTATTTATTAGCTATGTTGCTTCTCCAGAAATGCCACCACATTGGTGTCGGACTCTCCCAAAGTTATGCCTTTTTGGAGGAGTACGACGACATTTTTGGAGGATCTGAGCAACATAGTTTCTAAGATTGTTTTACTATAAAATGAAGATGTCGAGATCTACTAGTGATTAAATTGTTTCTTATTCGATCATCTTCCTTCAAAATTATTAGAGTCTTTTCATAAAAGAATGCACTGAAGATGACTTGATGTTACTGGTCCAAATTGTGCAAGGGTCGACTGATTATGATATCTTTCTTGTTGCAGAAAATGAGAAGATAAAAGCAGCTGACTCTATATTGATTGTTGGTGGTGGACCTGTTGGGGTTGAACTTGCAGCAGAAATCGCGGTCGACTTTCCTGAGAAGAAGGTAACTCTGGTGCATAATGGATCCAGGTTGCTAGAGTTCATTGGACCAAAAGCAGCTGACAAGACTTTAGAATGGTTGAAATCTAAGAATGTGGAAGTGAAATTGATGCAATCTGTAGATTTGAGTGATAACACCTCAGATGGAAACAAAACATATTTCACTTCATCCGGAGAAACTATCAAAGCAGATTGCCATTTTCTTTGCACAGGAAAACCACCAGCTTCAGAATGGTTAAGGGAAACGTATTTGAAGGACCGAATGGATAACTTTGGAAGGTTAAAAGTTGATGAAAACCTTAGAGTCAAGGGTCATAGAAACATATTTGCCGTTGGAGATATCACTGATATTAAGGTAAGCACTGAATAATTGCATATCTCATATTTCTTGAAACCTTTTTCCTTGTAGCTGTAAATAGTATTTTGTATTAAAGGCAGTACAGATATGAAAACATCCAATCGCATGAGGAAAAACTTGAAAATGTGGTTGCACTGACTTTTGTTGTTACAGCTGCTACAGTTAAAAAATATATGTGTCGATTTTGATAACAGAATAGTACTTAGAGGAACTGACAGCTAGTATTTCAAATTTTTGAGCAATATTCTTCTATTATTGAAGTGAATTCTTATTCTTCTAATTCGCTACCAGGAACTTAAACAAGGATATTCAGCTCAGAAGCATGCTGTAGTGGCGGCGAACAACTTGAAACTATTGATGAGTGGAAAGGAAAGCAAACTTGCAACTTATGAGCCTAAGTCAGCCAAGATTATTGTTTCATTAGGAAGGCAGGATGCAGTGGCTCAATTCTCATTCACAACTATCATTGGATTAGTTCCCGGGATGATCAAATCAAAGGATTTATTCGTGGGGAAAACGAGGAAGAAAATGGGGCTTCCTCCCAAGTAATATTGTTCATTCATGAGATTCGGATCATTCTGGCTGTAAGAAAATGTTGCTTTTTTTTTTTTTTTTTTCCTTTCATGGCCGAAACTCAAGTTCTTCTACTACGTTTTGCAGTAGAATGTGCATAATAGTTCAATTTTTTTCTGGCTCTGCTATAAATATGAGATATCTGTTGAGTATAAGATGCAGTAGTCCTTCTTTATGTTGGCTTGTTATTTTCTATTAGATGTGTGGAAATTGCATTGATTTGTAAACTATAAATGTGAATTATAGTACTATTTTTGAAGAACTTTAATGTTAACATGGTCTAAAGAGGAAGCTAAGCTAAGCTGTGCTATGATTCTTTTAAAAAGAAAACAGGAAAAGGAAAAACAAATCTTTGTACTAAACTCAATTTTAAAATTTCAGTTTTGACGAATCAAACGACCAAAATTATATGTTGTTTTGTAGTAGTAGTATTTTTGAAAATGTCATATTACTACGGGCTCGGTGATCTAGTAAGAAATTCACCAATATATATAACGTTGTAGTGTAGTAAGAGCTCAGTCAACAATTTTTATGGATTAAAACCTCACAGTTCTTCCAATGCAGGCTCGGGTCCTGTTAGAGCATGGCTTCCACATTGTACTGCCTGTCTCCACAGCGTAGCAGGAATTAAATGCGTCAAAATGGTTAATACACCCAAAATTTTGGAAAACACATTGATCATATCCTATCCTAGTTCTTTTGTTTCCTTTCCCCAAGAATTTCTGTTTTGGTTTTACCTCGTGGAGATGTAATGTAGCCGTGCTACATTGAATGAAAGTAAATTGCTTCGGTCTGATTCTCAAAATTTACTTCGTTTTAAAAATGGTTCTTCCAAATATTACTCTGCTTTCAAATTTCATTTTAGAGTATGCTATCATGAGAAATTGAGTATTGTGAAAGAAATACCTATAGAAAAAATTGAAAAGTAAATGAACGAAATTTATAAAGTAATTTGACAATTGTTCACAAACCTAACCCAACTTTTTCTAGGTTTTCGCCACCCTAAGTCACTATCTACGTACCACTAACACTTGTAGTGGGATGTATAGGATATCATTTCCTTAATCAGTAGTCTCACATTCGAGTTTTGGAATGGAAAAAATTTCGTTAGGGAGCGCTTCGTCCTTTTGCGCCGTCCTATAGAAGCACCGGTCTGTAGGTATGAACCTATGGTGAATGAAGGTGTTAAATATGGGGACGAGGTAGACCTAAATTGCTTTGAAAGAAGTTGCCTCGAAAGACTTATAAATCCTTGGAACCAATACAGAATTAGCTAAAGATAAAACGCAATGTGAAAAAAACATATATGTGATATATATATATATATAAATATATACACACACACACACACACACACGCACGCACACACTTTTTTTTTACTACGTACGACAGTTATTTTATTTTGGCATGATGATGATATGAGTTGAGTTTAAAGAAGTGAAACTGTCACGACCCAAAATCAACCGTCGTAAGGGCACCTATCGTGGAGCTAGGCCAGCCATTACACAACATCTCAATACAGTAAACACGTTAAAAATAAAGGTGGAAGAAATTAATATTTAAGAAAAACCTTTTTTGAAAAACAAAAGCAAACCAAAATATGATACAATCCATCCCAAAACCTGGGTGTCACAGAGTACATGAGCCTCTAAACCAGAATACAGTCCACTACAGTGTCTGGGGAATAAAAATTGAAATATAGATAGAGATAAAGAAGGAGAGTCAAGGCCTACGAACGCCATGCAGCTACCTCGATAGTCTCCGGGACCTGACTCTTTAATCAGCAGCCGCCGTGACCAGAAGCACCTAGATATGCACACGAGGTGCAGGGAGTAACGTGAGTACAGCCAACTCAGTAAGTAACAGGTCCAACCTTTGGACTGAAAGGTAGTGACAAACTCAACTGGTACAGTTAAAAATAGAAATAACAGTGCAGAAATGTAGGCATGCTTTCAAGTTAAATAGATAGCTCAAAACAGTAAAATAGATCAGATGTGAACAATGTGAAGATTATAACTCTTCTATTTCTACATGCCAATGCACATGCTTTACGTGATGCACCATGCTAACAGCCTCATACTCACACTCTCAAATGCTCAACCAATCAGTATTGTATATAGTCCATACGGCCCAGGGAAGACCCATCCCGAAATATATAAATCACTGACCATCAGTCACCCAGTACCGAGGAAGGCCAGTCCAGCCCTTCGGAGTAGATCCATCTCCAGGTATCAAGTACTTCGGACAAAAACTATGTTCAGGGAAGATCCATCCCTCAATAATATCAACCGCGCTCACTGGGGGTGTGTACAGACTCCGGAGGGGCTCCTACAGCCCAAGCGCTATCCTAAAATCAGTATAACCTCTTCGGCGTGCAGTCCGATCCCATAATTGTCACTCATAATTAGGCTCTCAGCCTCAATCTCTCCAGTCTCACTCACAGACTCACAATATCATGAAAATTAGCCCGGAACAATGATATAACGTATCAATAAATAACATTTAAGACTGAGATATGATATGAAATGAATGAATATGACTGAGTACGAAATATCAATGAAATCACTAAGGTGACAGCAAGAAACGATCACTATGGGTCCCAACCATACCAGCATAAAGCCTAAACATGATATCTAGCATAATTAATATCTCAATTACTTTATCACATGATGAAAATACGGATATGAACAAGATAGAATCACTATACAGTGCCATGGAATCAACCAGGTCACAATTCTCACGGTGCATGCCCGCACGCCCAATACTTGGCATGTGCGTCACCTCAATACCAATCACATAACACATAATTCGGGGTCTCGAACCCTTAGAATCAAGTTTGAAAGTGTTACTTACTCAATTCGGGCAAAATTCTACTCCAAAATGCCTTTACCACTCAAATCAGTCTCCAAACGTCCCCGAATGTAGCCACAAGCAATACAATACAATTAATATAGGCTAAATGGATCGATTCCACATGAAAAACACTAATTTATAACCAAAAATCCAAAATCGGCTCACCCCCCGGACCACGTCTCGAAATCTGACAAAAGTTAGAAAACCCGAAAGCTCATTCACTCATGAGTCTAACCATACCAAATTTACCCAAATCCGATAACAAAATCTCATTCAAAACCTCAAAAATTTAACTCAAGAACTCTTCCTCTTTTTCCCTAATTTTTCATCCCAAATCACAAATTAGATGATGGAATTAAAGGCATAATCATGGAATTTAGCTAAAACCAAGTAAAAATCACTTACCCCAATCAACTCCTTGAAAATCCCTTTAAGAATCGCCCAAATCCGTGGTCTCTAGCTCAAAATATGAAAAATGGGTTCAAACCCTCGTTTTTTAAATTTAACACCGCTACCCAGATATTTCTTCATCGCGAACGCGGCCTTTCCCTCGCGTTCGCGTAGCACAATTGATTCTGCCGCCCGAAAGCGAACGCGTCCAACCAACCGTGAACGCGATGCTTCGCTGACCCCTCACTTCGCGAACGCGACTAACCTTCCGCGAACGCATAGACCAAATGGCTGGGGTCCCCGGCTGCCTCACTCCTCTTCGCGAACGCGTTACACTTCTCGCGTTCGCGATGCCTCCACTGACCACACCTTCGCGAACGCGGGCTCCTCTTCACGAACGCGAAGAGAAAACTTCCATCATCCTCCAAGTACACTTCAGAACCTCCCTCGCAAATGCATAAGAGGAAACCAGATGAACCAATGACCAGCAACTTCAGCTATTTCACCAACTCAAAATCAAGTCTGTTAACCACCCGAAATCAACCCGAGGCCCCCGGGACCTTAACCAAACATACCAACAAGTCTTATAACCTGATATGAACTTAGTCGAATCCTCAAATCACCTCAAACAACATCAAAAATACAAATTACACACAGATTCAAGCCTAATGAACTTTGAAATTTCAAAATTCCACAAACGATGCCGAAACCAATAAAATCACGTCCGATTGACCTCAAAATTTGCACACATGTCATAATTGACACCGTGAACCTACTCCAACTTTTGGAAATCCAATCCGGCCCTGATATCAAAAACTCCACCCTCGGTCAAACTTCCCAAAATTTCAACTTTCGCCAATTCAAGCCTAATTTTATTATGGACCTCCAAATCACAATCCGGACATGCTCCTAAGTCCAAAATTACCTAACGAAGCTAACGAAACCATCGAAATTCAAATCCTAGGTCATTTACACATAAGTCGACATCCGGTCAACTTTTCCAGCTTAAGCTTTCAATTAGGAGACTAAGTGTCTCAATTCACTCTGAAATCTCTCCGGACCCGAACCAACTAACCCGGTAAGTCATATAATAGTTGTAGAACACAAAAGGAAAGGTAAATAGGGGAACGGGGCTAAAACTCTCAAAATGACCCACCAGGTCGTTACATCCTCTCCTTATTAAACAAATGTTCGTCCTCGAACGGGTCTAGAAACATAACCGGAGTCTCAAATAGGTCTGGATATCAGCTTCGCATCTCCCACTCGGTCTCCCAAGTAGTCTCCTCCACAGGCTGAAGTCTCCACTGCACCTTCACTGAAGCTATATCCCTTGACCTCAACTTTCGAACCTGCCGATCCAAAATGGCCACCGGCTCCACGTCATAAGTCAAATCAACATCTAACTGAACCGTGCTGAAATCCAAAACATGAGACGGATCGCCGAACTTCCGGAGCATAGAAACATGAAATACTAGATGTACACTTGACAAACTAGGTGGCAAGGCAAGCTTGTAGGCTACCTCTGTAATCCTTTGAAGCACTCAAACGGCCCAATAAACTGAGGGCTCAATTTGCCCATCTTCCCAAATTTCATAACACCCTTCATGGGTGAAACCTTCAGTAGAACCTTCTCCCTAACCATGTAAGGCACATCACGGTCCTTCCTGTAAGCATAACTCTTCTGTCTCCACTGCGCCGTGCGAAGCCGCTCCTGAATCAATTTCACGTCCAATGCATCCTGAACCAAGCCTGTACCCAAAAGCCTAGCCTCGCCCAGCTCAAACAAACCCACCGGAGATCTACACCGCCTCCAATATAAATGCTCATAAAGAGCCATCTGAATGCTCAACTGATAACTATTGTTGTAAGCAAACTCCGCGAGCGGTAGAAACTGGTCCCATAAACCCCCAAAATGAATGACACAAGCGCGTAGCATGTCCTCTAATATCCGA